CTGGTAAATTGAAAGGCATTTACAAATTTCCCTGTCCAGTAAAAAAAAAAAATTTAATAACAAGCATTACTTAATACATGTGTATTGTGCTAATGGGATACCTTGTGATCTTGGAGGTCCTTTTTTACAGCAGGTAAATTTGTCTTCTTCCCAATCATGCTGGTAAAAATTCTACAAAGCAAATATAGGGATTTAATGTATAAGGGGAGACAAATCTATACTATAAAATTTCTTGTCACAGTACAAAATAACCTATATGCATTTTATTAAATTATATTAATCATTCTGCATGGTCGATGATTTTATCTTAAATCCACAACTAGTTTTGTTTCAATGCCTGTTTCTTGACCATGGTCGTAACATCATGTGTAATAGAACTAACTTGATTCTGTTCTGAAGTTGCACCGACTCTACAATGATTTTTCGGATAAACTCCACTTCCCCTCCCTCTGTGATACTTTCTCCCACACTAGCTGTATTGACAGATGTTGGCTCCGCCCTGTCGTCTGATCGGGAGGAAGTGATAGCCTGGGCTTCCATGTGATCAGCAAAGAATGGAGGATTACACATGCAGAAGTCAAACTCATCAGTCTCATTCTCTAACAGCTCCAGAAGAGCGGATTTACCAGAAACCTTTTTAACTAAAAATTAACAAACCTTTATCATTTTTGCCAAATTGAATTGTAAAGTTCAATATAAAATGATATACATGTATATGAAGTACCTTTAGGTTGCAGAGAATCTATAAAAAGCAAACAACACATCACAGCAAACAATTTACTACTATCATTTAATCAATACTTATAATTTCATGTTATTGCAATTTTGGGAAAAAAATCTAAAAAAAAAAAAAATATGTACCTTTGATTTTATCCTCCATGTTGTTTCTTTGTACATTTTTCACAGCCATGGTAAAATTTGTTTCGTCCACCTCAGATGCCAGAAAACTCAAGTTATTTTTCTTACAGCCAAGTAATGGATACACACAACTGGCTCCAGTACCTGGGAGAAAAAAAAATTGGAAACTGAATACATGTGTCTGAATGAATGATTTAATTTCTTTAGAAAAAGAAGTGAAAACTGCTGTGCCCCCCCCCCCCCCACAATAATTTTGCTGATATACAGTATGCTAAAGAAAACATTGCTACTTTGTGATGACCTTTTTTTCTTTTGCTTGTCAAGGAATTTTTGCTTGGTAGAACCCCATCCCCAACTAAAAATGTTTGGTTGTACCCCTCCCCACTCCCTAAGCCTGTGAAAGAGTTAAATGTATACACAAATGGCAAAAACCTACCTATATCAATGCCCCTCCCTTTGACTTGTGTGAGTTCCTTTAGAATATCCTCAATCCACAAAATATAGTTTAATCTTAATGGAATAGTAGGAATCAGTCTGTTTAAAGGCATTTCAACATCCAGATCAAAATCTTCTTTCAGAAGTGCTATGGCCAGTTGTCTTAGAGATGATGAACTTTTGTAATCCAAGTGACATTTTCCTTTCAAGTCTTGAAAAATACATTTGGCAAACTCTGGATATTTGAGTGAAAGAGCTTTAAAGTTAGGAGCCTTTTCCTTATATGGATTTCTTGGATGCATAAATTTATTAAGTGCCATTTTCCCTATATTTTTCTGCAAAATAAATAAAAAACTAGAAATATGTCCATAGGACATGAATGCCCCGCCAAGGGTATATTAGTAATGCAACATTTTAACACAAATTGAGAAAAGTGAGGTCAAGGTCAAAGGAAAGGTCAAGGTGAAAAAATATTGATGCAGTTGAATAGCTTACATCAGTATGTATCAGCATATGAAGTTTGACACTAATTTAAGACAAGAGGCCCAGGGGCCACATCGCTCACCTGAGCACTCTGGCTAGGAAAAAGCAGAAATCAGTTCAGTCTTGAAAAGTTTAAATATAAGATTAAATATAAAACTGGTTCGGGGGGATTGGGGTTATTTGAACTAACTTGAATCTAAACTGTATAGGGATGCTTTTGAATTAATATGACAAATAATGGCTTTGCTGTTCTTAAGATTGATATATCCTTTGTATTCCTTTGTATGATCCCCTGTTATGGCCCCTCTTTTCTCCAGGGGATCATGATTTGTACAAATTTGAATCTACATTACCTGATGATGCTTCCATTTAAATATGACTAATCATGGCTTTGCTGTTCTTGAGAAGAAGATTTTTAAAGATGTTCCCTATAAATTCCTATGTAAAACTTTGATCGCCCATTGTGGCCCCACCCTACCCCTGGGGGTCATGATTTGAACAAATTTGAATCTACACTACCTGAGGATGCTTCCATATAAATATGACCAATCATAGCTTTGCTGTTTTTGAGAAGAAGATTTTTAAAGATTTTTCCTATGTTTTCTTATGTAAAACTTTGATCGCCCATTGTGGCCCCACTCTACCCCCGGGGGTCATGACTGGAACAAACTTGAATCTACACTACCTGAGGATGCTTCCATATAAATATGACCCATCATGGGTTTGCTGTTCTTAAGAAGAAGATTTTTAAAGATTTTTCCTATATATTCCTATGTAAAACTTTGATCGCTCATTGTGGCCACACCCTTCACCCGGGGGTTATGATTTGAACAAATTTGAATCTACACTACCTGAGGATGCTTCCATATAAATATGACCAATCATGGATTTGCTGTTCTAGAGAAGAAGATTTTTAAAGATTTTTCCTATGTTTTCTTATGTAAAACTTTGATCGCCCATTGTGGCCCCACTCTACCCCCGGGGGTCATGACTGGAACAAACTTGAATCTACACTACCTGAGGATGCTTCCATATGAATATGACCCATCATGGTTTTGCTGTTCTTGAGAAGAAGATTTTTAAAGATTTTTCCTATGTATTCCTATGTAAAACGTTGATCCCCCATTGTGGCCCCACCCTACCCCCAGGGGTCATGATTTAAACAAATTTGAATCTACACTACCTGAGGATGCTTCCATATAAGTTTCATATTTTCAAGCACAGTGGTTTTTGAGAAGAAGATTTTTAAATGATGCCATTAATTTTTCATGAATTCATAATTATCTCCCCTTGGAAGAAGGCGTGGCCCTTCATTTGAACAAACCTTTACCCAAGGATACTTTGTGGCAAGTTTGGTTGAAATTGGCCCAGTGGTTCTTGAGAAGAAGATGAAAATGTAAAAAGTTTACGACAACGACGATTACGACAACGACTACGACGACAGACAACGGACAAATTTCAATCAGAAAAGCTCACTTGAGCCTTTGGCTCAGGTGAGCTAAAATGTGAGGTCAAGGTCAAAGGAAAGGTCAAGGTAAAAAATTGTTGATGCAGTTGAAAAGGTTACATCAGTATGTATTATGAATGGTTTCTTTGAAACTGAACTAAACACTAATTTAAGAAAAGTGAGGTCAAGGTCAAAGGAAAGGTCAAGGTAAAAAAATATTGATGCAGTTGAATAGCCCTTGTCAGATGTATCAGCATATAAAGTTTGACACTAATTTAAGACAAGAGGCCCAAGGGCCTTAAGGGTCACCTGAGTATAATACAACAATTTAGAGGATCCATAGAGTATAAAATGAACTGAAAGGTGAAGCTTTGTTGCCCAAAAACAAGAAAAATAGGGTGATCAGGATCAACAAAATAATTAGTCTAGTGTTCATTAACAGTACATAAATTAGGTTCTAATCTGTTCCCCATTTATCCCTCTCACTAGACAGTATATAAACAAACTTATAATCAGTGCTTCTGTACTCTTTTAATTCCTAGTTGAAATCTCTTACATTGGCCTCTCTTGGTCTTTGATGAACATTTAATAAGACAAGTTATTTTTGTCTCATTTTTATTTATCTGTTACTTACAAGTCTACCTGATCATTAAAACTATGAAAGAACTTTTTGTATTATACAATAAAAATTCTTGCATAATTCTCTTATTCTATTAACCTTTCAAGTACATTATTTACAGTGATTAATTATCACCAGTAATTGGTAAAGGGGAATAACTCCTTTCAGTAGAATACAAATTAATAGAGCCCTGGCCTGGACCAGAACACTTGATCAAATGGTTCTGATGTTCAAAAATCTGGTAAAAATACCCTTCCTTATTAAAACCTTTACTCTTTTTGCCTCTGACATGCCTAGGTGCAGAGAATATTTTTAAAGCATTAATGCATTTTCACTATATAATAAATAGAGCCCCGCCCTAATATCAGAACCTCTGATCCCGGGGCCATGAAATTCACAATTTTGGAAGAGGCATCCTTGCTTATCATAACCATGTATTTGTTTAAATAATACCCAGGAGAAGAGAAGAAGATTTTCAAAGAAATAATGCACTTTCACTATATGATCTATATAGCCCCGCCCTAGCATCAGAACCCTGACCCTGGGGCTATGAATTTCACAATTTTGGTAGAGTCATCCTTGCTTATCATAGCTATGTATTTAATTTGTTTAAATAATACCCAGGAGTAGAGAAGAAGATTTTCAAAGAAATAATGCACTTTCACTATATGATCTATATAGCCCCGCCCTAGCACCAGAACCCCTGACCCTGGGGCTATGAATCTCACAATTTTGGTAGAGTCACTCTTGTTTATCATAACTATGTATTTAATTTGTTTAAATAATACCCAGGAGTAGAGAAGAAGATTTTCAAAGAAATAATACACTTTCACTATATGATCTATATAGCCCCGCCCTAGCACCAGAACCCCTGACCCTGGGGCTATGAATTTCACAATTTTGGTAGAGTCACTCTTGCTTATCATAACTATGTATTCAATTTGTTTCAATAATACCCAGGAGTAGAGAAGAAGATTTTCAAAGAAATAATACACTTTCACTATATGATCTATATAGCCCCGCCCTAGCATCAGAACCCCTGACCCTGGGGCTATGAATTTCACAATTTTGGTAGAGTCACTCTTGCTTATCATAACTATGTATTCAATTTGTTTCAATAATACCCAGGAGTAGAGAAGAAGATTTTCAAAGAAATAATGCACTTTCACTATATGATCTATTTAGTCCCACCCTAGAACCAGAACCCCTGACCCTGGGGCCATGAATTTCACAATTTTTGTAGAGTCACCCTTGCTTATCATAACTATGTATTCAATTTGTTTCAGTAATACCTAGGAGTAGAGAAGAAGATTTTTTAAGAAATAATGCACTTTCACTATATGATCTATATAGCCCCGCCCTAGCACCAGAACCCCTGACCCTGAGGCTATGAATTTCACAATTTTGGTAGAGGGCTCAATGCTTATTACAATCATTCCAACAGTTTGACTGCTTGATGTCCAGGAGTAAAGAAGATTTTTAAAGATTGCATTAATTTTGATGGTTTTGGCCCCACCCCTCAGGCCCCAGGGGGGGCAGGGGCCACGAATTTCACAATTTTTGTTCCCCTTCACCCATAGATGCTATATGGCAAAATTGGTTGAAATTGGTTTGCTGGTTCCAGAGAAGAAGCTGAAAATGTTCAACAGTTTACGACCGACGATGGACAAAAAGAGATAGCAATAGGTCACCTGAGTGACTCAGGTGACCTAAAAAGTGAGGTCAAGGTAAAAAATGTTGATGCAGTTGAATAGCTCTCATCAGTATGTATCAGCATATGAAGTTTGATAACACTATCTTGAATGGTATCTTTAAAACTGAGCTAAAAACTTATTTAAGAAAAGTGAGGTCAAGGTCAAAGGAAAGGTCAAGGTAAAAAATATTGATGCAGTTGAATATCTCGCATCAGTATGTATCAGCATATGAAGTTTGTTAAAAATATCTTGAATTGTTTCATTAAAACTGAGCTAAACACTAATTTAAGAAAAGTGAGGTCAAGGTCAAAAGAAATGTCAAGGTCAAAAAAGTTGATGCAGTTGAATAGCTTACATCAGTATGTATCAACATATGAAGTTTGATTACACTATCTTGAATGGTATCTTTAAAACTGTGCTAAACACTAATTTAAGAAAAGTGAGGTCAAGGTCAAAAGAAAGGTCAAGGTCAAAACTGTTGATGCAGTTGAATAACTTACATCAGTATGTATCAACATATGAAGTTTGATTACACTATCTTGTCAATGAATGGTATCTTTAAAACTGAGCTAAACACTAATTTAAGAAAAGTGGGGTCCAGCTCAAAGGAAAGGTCAAGGTAAAAAAATGTTGATGCAGTTGCATAGCTCTCATCAATATCTATCAGCATATGAAGTTTGATAAAAATATCTTGGATAGTTTCTTTGAAACTGAGCTTTGAACAGAGCTAAACGCAAAGTGTGACAGAAGGACAGATGGAAGGACAGAAGACGGACATGACAAACACTATATGCCCCGGCCATATTCATGGCGGGGCATAATAATAACATGTACATGTATAATATTTCTGTAAATATTTGACACTCAAAACTGTCCTGTTGGTAAATTTACTATATTTGCTTTGGTCAGTTTTCTTTCTTTTTTTACCTATCATACCTAGTTCAGCTTATCATTATAAAAGCAATGTAAAAAGACATATTAAGGTACATGTAACTGGGAAAAATGAATATGAAATTATAGCAATTTACATCACTTAAACACTTCTAATGGTTGGAACTCCGAACATTCTACACATTTAACACAGGTTAGGTCAACAATAAACCAGAAGTCTCTGATGAGACTGTAGCTCTGTTGGTTTCTACTTTTAACAAGGAAGAGAAAAGCAGCACTTGGACTTGAAACTTTGCAACAGCAATAAAATGAATAATGATCCTTGATTAAGTCTCTTTTTGTGGCAAGATTAATTGCAATCAGACTAAAACTTTAGCAAAAGTTTTGAAAGTATTATACAGAAATTTCTATTTTTTAGTAACCATGGCAACACCATTGAAATCAAAAACCGATATACAGAACTATGTACATGTATCTTAGTGTAGTCTATTTGTGTGCCAAGTTATATTGAAATCAATTCTAGACCAAAACTGTAGGAAAAGTAGTGTTTTAAATGTATTTCACAGAAATTTCTATTTTTAGTAACCATGGAAACACCATTCAATGAAATCAAAAATCGATACATAGAATTATGTATCTAAGAGTAGTCTACTTGTTGAGAATTAAGCGTTTATTGAATCATTACTTTTTGAAGGATATAGTCTCATAATTGCAATGGAGTGTGCAAACAGATTGAGTTTAAATGCGTGTTAATGCATCATGAAAATTTGTTTACAAACACCATTGCTTTAATGAGACTATATCTTTCAAAAAAAGAAAAAAAAAAAATGATTTAATGCTTATATTTACATTTTTAACTCCTTGCCTTGACTGCAAATGTGATTTAGATTTCAAAATCCCTGCATTATCCTTCGGGTAAGTTACAGTTATTGGCAGTGTTCGAAATTAGCGGAAGGACTCACGAATAGTATGACTAAATGGGTCCTTGAAATAATTTTGGGCCGACGATGATTTGCCGGGAAACAAGTTAACGTCAATCGCATTTTCTCGGACCTTTCCGGCGAACTTTGAAAAATACACCATTGTTTTTCTTTACCGCTTGTTGGTAAGGCTTAAGAAGTTGCGATTGAAGTTAACGTATATTGGTTTATGCATTCACATTAACTTTATATTTTTCCTGTATTTTAATTGGATATATTAATCAAATTAACCAATGAGCATCTTTAAAAGAAATTGGATTTAAGATGTGTAAAACTTGCTATTTTTATCAAGATCGTATCAATTCTTCTTTTCATGTGCATTTTAAATAAATACTGAAGAATTGATTTTTTTTCCTGCGTGAAATAAATTTACGCTATATGCGTATATATATGTATGCGGTTACAAATTTCCACGGAAAATTGTCCATGTATACTTAAGTACATTCTATCAACATAATGTGGCAACCTAAGAAACCTGCGTAATTTTCTACCCGCGGATTTTAAAAACAGAAATTGTAATTCTGAGGGAAAGTATGTTTACATTAATATAAACACATGTTAAACTCATTACGTGTTATGCATGACCAAGTAAGACTATGACGATTAATGTTTTACCGTTTCATATTGGTTATACTTGCGAGTTGTAGATACCCTTTATTTAATTGACATATTTCATATGAAGCGATAAACTTACAGAGATAATCAATACGTAAAAGTTTATTCTTCCCAAATATTTGATGGTATTACTTTTGGGCCTACGCTGCCCTGGAAGGACTCACGTAGTCCCTTATCTGTGGGTCCTTTGGACCCATAGAAAATAATTCTGAATTTCGAACACTGGTTATTGGACTGAAGAGCCATTGCAACAGCTTCTGTTCGATGTGAGCGTGAATTTTGATTTCCCTTATGACATTGCACTTTGATGGCATTCAATGTTTGTGAAGTCAAAATAAAATGTATACTTTATCCTTTTGACCCCCTGTTCATGTTATGGTGTTTTGAATGCTGAAGCTTTCCTCACACTTTATAAGAAAAATACATGTTGAATGTAAATATGTTATTATAATATTGAAATCAGGAACAACACTGTAGGAGGGGTAGCATTTTGAAAAAATTGTTTAAAGGCGGACAGACAGCTAGACAGACAGACAAATGGACGACAGACACCTTACTATCGCATAAACTCTTCTGCTCTCTGATCAGTAGACCAAAAAATGATTTGTTTGATGTATTCTGACCAACTTGTCAAAATTGCCCCTACCCATTTTTCAGTACTTTAATTTTTTTTTAATTTACAGGGAAATATAGATTGTCGATATCATTTTAAAAGTTGTTTTATTATTTCTCTAAGTCACTTAAATTTTGCAATTTTGGCGCTAAATCAATCAACCCCCTATCCTATTCATATAAAATAGCAATTGAGCCATTGTGCATGAAATATTTTTGAAAACAAAGTACAGTAATAACTAAGAGCAGGACTTCAGTTAAATATCCAATACACAAACCTACACGCAATATATAGAATATAGAACTGTGAAAACCAAAACGTCAAAGTTTCGTTGCATCAACCATGGGCGCAGACATATTGAGTCGGATCAAAAGTTTAAAACGGGCTGTGGGCGAAATTCCTTGGAATCGGTTAAAAACGGACCGTAGACAACTATTTGATGAATTTTAGAAACGAAAGAAAAAGAAATTATACTTCCGATTTTGACCATGAAAAGGGTAAAAGATACACATTTGCATCTGCACTTTACTCAATATTGGGATTGAATCAGGCAACTTTCATTTAGATCTACCATAATTTTTCATAGAATATCCTTATCTCCTGAATAAATACCTACCCCATTTGGCCAAACACCTTTTTTTCTCAAATTCTTTATTACTGTTTCATCTATTTAAGAAATAAGGTATCATTTTAAAAAAATCTATCGGGATATTAATCAAGTTGGTCACATGATCTACAAATACCATAAGCCCGAAGGATTTTTATGGTAGATTTGATCACGTACCAACTGGTATTCATCTACTACATCTACTTGCATATCCTGATAGATGTTTTTTTTTTTTTTTTTAAATGGAACCTTATTACTTATATTTACATTTGTGATGATTTTTAACAAGTATTTGTGCACCAGTTTTCGACCTCTGAAATTTATTTCAATCCTCAGTGGAATATAAATTGAAGGCATATACTGAACACATCAACCACCAATCACTGTGAAATTATATTGACAGTTTATCACTAAAACAATGAATTTGTCATGAAAAACCTGTACTTTAATACAGTGATGGATATGCATTGCTCAATTATATACCAGTATATGTAACTGAAGGGAAAACATTTGCAAATGTAAATATTTAGCCATAAAATTCTCAAAGTAGGTCACCATGCATTACCTAGGTACCCTGGATTTATAAATACAAAAATGCATCAGCTGGTAGATTGATGGTTCTGGGCTTTATAATGTGCAAGATATGCATCAAAAATATTTATTGTTATAAACAAGGAACCATAAAATTCCAAAGGTTTTGTAGTTTACTCACTTAATAGCTCAAAGATGCATATTGAAATGGTTTGAAAATCCTAGGCCTGTAGTGACCAAGGTTTACAATAGCTAATCTACCATTAACCTCAAAATAGACCATCATGACCTACTTTTGGGTTGACACACCCTGTGGTCCAAAGATGCATGAACCAGCCAGGTTTTATAAACACAAGCCTTATCAATTACAGTACATGTACATGCAAGTAGAAAATGCCTAAGCTGAGATGGTTGGGTGATTTTGGCTCTCAGGTTCAACATTTAGAGGCATCTGAGAATGAATATTGGTAAAATTCCAGAGCTGATCATGGTGATCTACTTTTAACCTCATAGTCCAACCCCAAAATGTATTGACAGGATTTGATAATCCTGTAAAATACATGTACCAAAATATTAACAAAAGATCATAGAATAGTCAACTCTGAAATGAAATTGGAACCTTGTCCTTAACCCTGGGATGATGCTTTGAACATGTCTTTAAAGCTGAACACCACTCATAAATAGGCATATGCCATATTCGATTATAATATCTACGATATCAGCACAGGGATATACCCTTCGCATTCCTTACACCTGCTTTATTTTCATGTGTAGCAGCATGGAATGGCGACATGTTTTCGTGTTGGTTATCTTGCATTGCCTTTATTTATTTTATTGCATTTGTGTATTGAATTCATGTTCGTTTGTTTACTGCACTGACCTGTGCAACTGTTGTTGGTATCTTGCTCTCCTGTTGTAGAAGTACAAGGTTATTTTTTTGTCGCTACCAAGTGCTGTGCAGCATGCATCCATCAACACTCCAATTACAATGAACAGTAACTGAGCGGCTTATATAGGGGCCCTCAGATAGAGCAAGTGAATAATCAAATATGGCAGACAAATTCCTTTTATGAATCGTGTTCAGCTTTAATCTGAATTGTATGCATTTACACAACAGAACAATTTATGTAGCATTATAATTTATTGACATAATACACAATAACAATCAGATCAAAGATTAAAATCCTCAACTGACAAGGTCATGCAACTTCTCCCTTCAATTAGCCACAAATCGGCACACCCCTACAAACTGCACAGAACAGAGATTCTGTCCAAAGGCAACTTATGTCAAGACTTTTGGATTTGTGTCCAAGACAGGCATATTTACTTGACATCACACAAAGCTTAACAAACAGCAAAAAGCATTGATTTGATTACAGTCAGTTAATACAGTAATCAACAAAGATAGGTCATGACAAAGTGCAAAATTTTCTTTTAAGTTGGCATATTGACAAAAACCAGATTATCTCAAAAAATCCTCTCACTTCATCCTACATTGTTCACAAGCAAATGGCTTTGGAAGATGTAGGCAAGAAATGTGTCGGAAGAAAAAGGATTTTTTGGACCGAAATAAAAGTATCAAAGCAATTAAACAATGCTTCTTCTAAAGACATCAATACTATTCATAAACAAAATTAAAACAAAATGACATGAATAATGAATGACTGAATAATTTGGTTCTGATTTTTTTCTTTCTGAATAAAGCTGTAGTTATTTAACTTCAAACCATAACATGGATTTTTTTTTTTTTTTTAAATTTTGAATATGTGACATAATAATTCACATTTTTTCTCCCTTATTTAGCACATTTAATAATGGGAACACAGTGAACAAGAGAAAGTGACAAGCAAACATGTACTCATAAAAGTTCACCTTTTAACACAACTAGCATCTGTAACATTGTATTTCAGGTGTACAAAAAAATATATATATTTTGACATACAACTGAAATACAACTAAGCACTTATTTAAAAAGCATACAAAACTGACTAAAAACTTCAATCAGTAGAAATTTTTGGTCAGCTTTTATACTTGATTTGCATATTTGTAGCTGTCTGATTTCTGTCCAGATCTCACGAGAAATTCAGCAAACACCAACACCCATCCTTTGCATAGATGCCACACCCTTTTTCTGAGGATTCATTGGAACACAACTTCAGCAATATCGGTCAAAGGTTAACAAGAAACAATATAAAAAAAAATCAACAAAAATTTGACATTGTAATACCAGATTTGTAGAAAAAATATAATAAGATTTATCACAGTCAACAATTCATCAGCAAAATAAAGAAAAATTCATAATAAAACAATGCATATTAAATATGTCATAATTCAAATTGTTGGAGATTGGCAGTAAGCACCTGTAACATCATCGGTTTGGCAAGTATAAATACCTGCAGATTATCTAGTATGGGCACATTTGTATACATACTACCTCTAAAGAAAACCACAAGAATAGATTTTTTTGTGATGCTATACGAATCACAAAGTTGGTCCTTTGGCAACATGCTAAAGGAGGGTTTGGAGTATGAGAGTCTCCCTGAGTTCTCGAAGGAGGGGGTTATCTATGGGGGTGTGCAGTTGTCCACTTAACAACACCTCCTAAGATAACCTCCCCCCTTTTATAACTGAACAACACATTACATCCACATATATTGCTGTGCTGTACACTGCATTGTTGGAAAAGATAATACTGTCTTTCAACTTCACAAGAAAAGATCTCTACAGTATTGATAAAGGAAAACAAATTTACTTCAGTGCATGACTAAAAATGCTTAGATATTTTAAAAATTAATTCTGTGAATAATCAAATGTGGTTAAAAATTAGTTTTTGAAAAACAAATCTGAACACCATTCAAGGGCATAAATTGCACGCCAATAAATATCTAATACTTGAGGATGCATATTTACTATTTTCTGCTAAAATCCATAGGTTTGAAAGACAGTAGTACCCTTGTCAACAAAATATTCCTGACACACGTGAACTTTCAATAAACACCGTTACAAAGATGTAAATACATGTAAAAAAAAAAATCTCACTATTAAAATTCTGTTTTCAATGATGTAACTACATGTATGTAAATGACTGAAAATGAAAAAAAGAGCAAGTGCAACACATCTATTGGAAAGCTATAATCCACTGAATAAATTTAAATTGGATATACTACAAATGGGATGGTAGTGTCAGAATCACCAGACACAGTTTATATACATGTACTTAGATAATCAAAATAAATAGATAATCAATCTTATACTATAAAACTACTGTAAATACAATGATTCAATTATCAATCTACGATAAATATTCTCAGATGGCTTTCCCAAAAATTTTGTTGCCCATGACTATATTGCAAGTTGAACCTGATATATATTAGACCCATGAAGCCACAGATGAATTTTGTGACCAAAAATTTTCTTTAAAATATCTTTATAAACTTTTTCCTTTATACATGTATTTTGAATGTCAAAATATGTACTGGCATAATGTGGTCCCACTACTGATTTACAGCAGCAGGGATATTTGTTTCTATTTCTGAAGGTACAAGTATACTAAAGGGTACACAGAAGACTATACCTGAGTTGTGTTTCCAACTCACATTTCTCCCTTCACCAAGAACGCAGAAACAACTGTCCTATAATGTACTAACATCTGACTTTCCGAGATCACTTAATGTGGGTTTGAACACGGGACTCACAATCCTGAGTATATAAACAAATGAACACTTAAACCCTGGAGTTTATAACTGGCTTCCTGGATATGCACACTTCTGGTTTGTTCTCTTGCAGTAAATACACATTTCCCAAATGACAAATGTATAGCAGATTATAAAAAGCTCAGAACACTGATATCCCCTTTAAGTTTTAGTAAAACTGTATGCACAATGGCAGTTTAAAAAATAAATTCAACAGGTTAATACTGTTAACATTACAGCACAACAGGGGTTTGGGGAATGCAGATTTACATAAAAGCAAGCCAAGTATGCAAAAGTTGAGACAAATATGATCCTGACAGCATACCACTGAGGTGGTTTACAGGTTTTGAGAGCACAATGATGCAGTAATAAATTAGTTATATTGTACTACTAATGTCTGAAAAAAAAAAAGCCAATAAGGTTCCTAACGGCATTCCCATACTTTGACTGTCTGGTCAACAGAGCCAGTTATCACAAACGGAGCACTCTTGTGCATATCTGAAAAATACAACCAAAATAAAACTCAACAAGAAATCAAACTGAAAGTATGAGATATTAATGCTGTTAAGTTATCATTTCTACATAATTTTTAAAAACCATTGTTAATGATGATTTAGGATCATCAAAATGCAAAGGACATTGTATAAAAGTCAAGCCTGCATCTGTCCAATTCAATGCATATTATGTTAAACACTTGATAGAGAAAACAATTATCAAATCAAAACACAATTAATAAATCGATTAAAATACCTAGAGAAGTAGTAAAATGGGAGTGTGCATCCAGGGTTTTATGGTTTCTCTTGTTTTTGATGTCCCACACTCGCAGTGTCTTGTCATCAGAGGCACTCAGGATGTACTTGCCGCCTGGGTGGAATACCAGTCCTCTCACCCAGTTGTCATGTCCCGTCTGAAAAATTTGTCATTTTTAACACAGGATATGCATACAAACTATGTTACAAACTAATACAAAACTTGTTCTTCAAATGAGAAATTGACAATATTTTTTACATGAACTATGTGGTCAACCATCACTGATTACAATTTATCTTTTATTAACATGAATATTGCATGATTTTATGTGTTTGTGTGTTAATGGAAGAAATACCTAAATTACATGCAAATTTGCTTTATAGTACATGTACAGTGCATGCATTGAAAATGTGCACTAGCATGTCTCATTTTAGATAAAAGAAGTTTGTCCTTTCTTCACTCTGGAGTGGACAATAATGAAAGAACTTACCAAAGTAAACAAACATAGACCCACACTAACGTCCCACATCTTGATTGTTTTGTCGCGTGATCCTGAAATCAGGAATGGGCCAGATCTTTTTTCTTTCTTGTTCTACAAAAAAAAAAAACCCCAAAAAAACCAGTGTTCCAGCAACAGCACTAAAATAATGTATCTCAAACTGCAATACATGTATATGATAGTAGTTGTTTTTTTCTATTTGAAAAGCATACCTCGGCGCTGATTGCTTCGTTTATTGTTGGCTGTGCAGATTCTGGGGCCCAGGCAATGCATTCCACAACATGTTCATGTTCTCTTAGTTCCATTTTACACTCTTTGGTAGCTGTTACCCATATTCTAACAGTCTGAAAACAGATACTCATACTGTCAAAAACAGATGTCCTACCAAGAGCAAAAAAAAAAAAAAAAAAAAAAAAATTATAACATGGCTTAAAAAAAAAACTTGATCAAGAAAAATTGTAATTTTCAAGAGTCTGAAAATTTGCTTCATTATTATATTTAAGGAAAAAAATTGGGACAGATACCTTCCACAGACCAAAAACTTTGAGAAATGAAGTTTGAACCAATTTTAGTCACCAGTATTTATTTTGTGTGTGTGTAACTGTGTATATGGGAGTCCTTAGAGGAAGGCAATTATACTTTACATCATCTCCTTTTCATTACAAAATTATTTTTTTTTAAGAAATTTAACTATTACATGTACATTTGATTATTTGATGTAATAGAAAGTATCTTAAAAACTGAATCACACTTATTATACCTGGTCATTTGAACAGCTGGCTAAAAGTGACCCATCATGGTAGACTCGGACCATTCTCACCCACTCCCTATGTCCAGTGAAGGTTTTCACACAAAATCTAATTAATCATAAACTATGAATTAATGTACCTTTCCTTAAAATCAACCTCTCTTGAATATCAGTTTGAAAATACATTGCATCCCATTTAATTTTGAATTATTATCACTTTAAGCATACAGGTTATAGTCATTGTTTAAAAATTATGTATGGGAAATCATAAATCTAATAAAGAAAATATTGAAGGCACAATAAAATTGTGCTGAACTAGGCATTCTTAACAGCATGAAATACTTGCTAGCTTTCTGTTTTTACTGATAGAATTCGGTCAGCCATAATGAAGAATTAAGTCTCAGCTGACTTGAAAAGCATTCACTGGCTTAAGTTAATCTAATGATTTTCTTAATCAACATCTTCTAAGATTTCTATTAGTTACCCTGTGCTTATTTCCCACATTTTGATGGTTTTATCTCTGGAAGAGGAAACAAGATGATCTCCACTTGGCACAAACGAAATACTGGACACATTGTGATCATGGCCTAGGATAAAAAATGAAACAAAACATATATACAAAGGATAAATCTTAAAATTGACTGAAAACAAGGGATCCATGATCAATCAAATCTTTTGTTTTACTCCTTATTTAAATCTCATGTGTAAAAACTCATGCAGTCATTTTTTTTTTTCATTCTAAGCAAAGAATATCAATACTGTTGATCTATCTTAGCTTTGGATAGTGCTTAGAACAAATTCATTGAACAATGATGTACCCTAAAATTACTGAAAAAAACCCAGATGTTATGTGAAACATTGAAGTTTCTTTTGAAGGGGAGGGGGTGTAAGCTTTAAGCCAACTGAATGAAGACATTGCAATAAATATCTGAAATATCAAATACCAAGGACTCAAAAAGATTTAACATGCAATAAAAATTCAAAAAAATGTACTAAGTAATATATACAGTATGTATTATGTAATTTGTACACATTATACATCTACATAAAAATAAAATGTTAACATTAAAATGACAAACATACCATAGAGTGTTTTGACACATTCATAAGAAGTGAAGTCCCACAGTTTAATTTTCATATCAGCAGAGCATGATGCTGAAAAAAAAATCACATTTTGCTTTCTGGATTCTTACAGTGTGTTCCTCTGGCTCATATTGTAAAAAAAAAAAGATTATTCTTTACATGGATAATTTCACAAACAGAACTGTTTAAAGAGTGTTATGAAAATTTTTTTAAATTAAAAAATGGATACTGACAATCAAAAGATCACTTTACATTCAAGAAAAAGCTTTATTCTTGAGTTAGTAGTTTTCAGCAATATATATCATATCTTACCCAAAAACTTCCCAGTATGATCAAAAGCAATGTCCTGTACAGTATCTGTATGACCTTTTAGAGTTCTTTCATAATCACCTGTCTCATAATCCCAGATCTGTTTGATGACAAGTTGTGCAGTCAGATGTTGAAGTTAAATCATAAAAACATTCAATAATAAAAATCATAATAAATTAACTTAATTATGTACCTTGATTGTAGCATCCTCACTGGATGATACCATGACACTGTAAGTCGGATGAAACACTACCCTAGTCACTGGACTTCGGTGACCACTTAGGGTGTAGCGTTCTGGGGGCCTTGGTATCCATTCTGTAGGGCTGCGACGGTCCCTGGATGGACCCCCTGCATTGTATTCCTTCTCTGCCTCTGACAGCTTTGCTTCAAGGTCCATGACCTGAAATACATATTTCTTACATACCAGCATTGATACATGTATATATATCCTGCTTAATCTTTTCTCCGTTTTCTTACATTACAGTGGATTTTCCATACATAAACTTTAATACCTTTTTCTGTAGCCGGATAACTGATGTCCATTTCTTTTCCAGCAAGCCACCATATTTTTTATCTATATCTCCTGGCTGCAAAGAGAGAATTTCATGTGAAATACTGGGATTCAAAATGTCATTATATCTTAAATTCAAAAGTGTTTAACAATTTTTTTTTTTGATTCCTTAAGATCAGTAAATGAATGACAGATCTGTGGAATTAATTATTTCAAAATTCAAAATATTTAAATTTGAATTAAGCAATACCAGACTAGCTTCTTTTTGAAATTCACTTAGTGCTGAAAGATATCCATTAGAGCTAAGGTAATCAGCTATAGCTCTGTTCCTACAAAGAGATAATAAATCATACATTTATTACATATATATTAAGTTTAAATTAAAGTAAGCACTGAGAATGTGAGACAGGTGTTCTGATAAGATATACATGTACCTGGTTCAATACAATATCAAATACATTTATCAAAGACAGTGCACAGACTGTTTGTACAAATGAATACTTGAAAAAATGTATTTTATACTAAATCACACAGGTTGTGTACTTACAATTCATCCTTTTGTCTTTGTGATAAAACCATTTTTGCATGTATGTGTAATTCCGAAACTTGTCAGGAGAAGTAATAGGGGTCCTTTTTATTTCATTTTATTTGCAACCTACAGTGAAAGTGTATTTACATATTAAATGTTGATAAAAGATTTTTAAATCAATTACATACTGATCTTAACTCATTTGATAACATCACTTGTAATACCACTATTATTAAAACTGAATACATCTTCAACATACTTAATATCTGAAAATACCATAAAAGAAGAGATATCATACAAACAAAGAAAGTTTGACATTCATGAATACATTGAAGATAAGAATTCATTTTGAAAACAAAGACAATCTCTGATACAAAGGCCCAACCTTAAATATATAGATTGATTTATTCCTCATATTTAATCATCTGATTATGACGGTATGAAAATGGACAGTTAATAATCAACATGTCAGATTCTAGAGTTTTCAACTTATTCTACACAAGATGATATAATACAATATGAAATGTGTTGATGCTACGATACTCTGAACATGGAACTTTTCACAACATCTTATGCAGAACCATTTATTCAACAAAAAGTCTGCATAAAATTATGCAAAGCTAACCCGCCATCTTACATCAATGGCTAGAATTGAATGACCTTCTGAATGTCTGTTTAAACTACTTAAACAACAAGAAGAAAACGTTATACTATATTACCGAAGATACGGTGCTGATTTGGATTAAAGCTTCGAAAGATCACTGGGCCTGAACTACAGACCCCTCTTTGGGAGGACTTCACAAAATCTCGATTTCCTTTCGTGTCAATGCGCATGCACATTACTTCATTATCGATTACTTCCCCGTGAATGAATATTAATGAATTTTCCTGTAGATACTCGGAGATTTTAGTTGTTACATGAATTATACTTCATAAAAAAGCAATTATGTGTGCATAACCTACAGTAATATCATATTTTGATTCACGAAATATTATATGTAAGATTGTGCAAAATTATCAAACCGGAAGTGACGCAAATTGTTAAAAAGTGAATGAAACTTTGTTGTCAGCACAAACAACAGCAAGATTTTCTTCAAAGGATGGCTACAAAACAGATAACAGACTCCTTTCCAAAGGTTAAAAAAGCTGGTAAAGACCAAAAGCTTGGTAAAGGTGGGTGAAATTTGATTCAATATACGAATCTGCCAATGTTCCACAGTTGTTTCTGTAATAAAATTTTTACCCCATATTATGATAAATAAAAAGTGTTTGAAACTGCGTGAAATTAGCTAGATACGCAGGGCTAACTGCTGACAAAATTTGTCAGACCCGCCAAAGATATACGAACCTGTTGACTTTTTATCAGGTCCGGCACAATCTCTTGATTTAGCTATACAGCTTGATTTAGCTATATAGCTTTATTAAGCTATTCAGTATAGCTTGATTTAGCTATTTTATCACACTTTTTCTTAAATGTGTTATTTTCTCAGCATGCACAAAAAGTCGCACCTTGGTGCAGTGATAATATTCAACCTTGAACTCTCCTGAAAATAATGCATGTAAAAATCACTCATCAAATTGCGTCTCCTTAAGAGACTTTGTACTCAAAGTTCTAAAAGTTTTTTGGCTATATAAAGCAATTGATACAGTTACTTCTGCAATGAAATTATAAAGGAGGCCAATTATGGTCAACAAGATGATTGATTGGTAATAATTAGGGATGTCAATTTTGTCAATAATTCATATTCGAATATTCAATGAAAGTATTCGAATATATTCGAATATTCGATAAAATAAATAATCTGTTTTATTTTAAATATGCATCATCCTACTCTCACGAACGGTTTAGCGTAGGTATACTTATATTGAAAGTAAATTGTATGAAGACTTTTGTAGTTGCACAATAAGAAATTTCATTTGATATATAATTTCATATCTTTATCAAATGAAACATATGTATTTATAGTAGCTCCAACTGATGAATCAGTCGTCTTGCCAAAGGCAAGATATAGTAGTAACGGTATACGTGTAATAAATTACAATTATCTGCCTAATAAGAGATATGACAATTATCTTTGATACAATGTTTTTAAAATATAAACAAATATTTCCATAGATAATTTTCCTAGGTAATTAATTAATTTCCCGATAATGAATATAAAATTCAGGATTATATACAACCCAAGATATAATCATTTAATCTGAAATTGAGCCCTTTACAAAATTAATTACAGTGGACATTCATTTGAATGATCAATTAAATTTGTTTTGATAAGTATACTCTTCACGTCTTTTAGACATTCTAAGAGGGTTTTCATTTTGTTGTCTTCGATTCTAGACCCGATCGTATTGAAGAAATAAAAACTATGAAAGTGCGTTTTGTATTATACATAAAACATTATTGTACAATTCTTTAACACCTTACTCAAAACAAAATCCATGTAATTTAGTAATTCTATAAGATAAGAAAGAAGTGAAAGAAATCAGGCGATCGAAATTGATCGCTAGTAAATTAAAGAGGGATAATTCCAGCATTGCTCTAATCAAAATTTAATAATCACAGTACTTCTTTTAATGAAATCTGAAAAACCCTGAATATTCGAATCTTAAATTCATATTCGAATATCAACTCATCGAATGAATATTCGAATGTTCGAATATTCGTTGCCATCCCTAGTAATAATTCAGTACATTGAGAAGCTATCGTACTTATCCACGCCTCAACGCACACAAGGTACTGTACAGTTACTCAAACAATTGAAATACATCTTTTGCTTAAAAGTATTCAAATGCTGCTATGTTAAAACTTTCTTTGATTTTGGTTGTTGTTTTGACAGCCCATAATACATATATGAATAGTCAAATACTTGTGATTTTTTTTCTATTTCTTACAAAAAACATTTTTCTGAAAACTGCACATAAATAGCTTTTTATCAAGCTATTTTGAATAGCTTAATAAAGCTATATAGCTATTTCAAGCTATATAGCTAAATCAAGAGATTGTGCTGAACCTGTTTATGTAAAACCATATACAGTAAAACACACTTAAAACGAAGTGCCAAGGGTGAACGATTTTGCTTCATTATGAACGTAATTCCTTATATACGTTAAGTTTACAATGTTTTTAAGCCGTGGGGAATGAAAATAACTTGGCTGTAAGCGTCATTTCATTAGGCCAAATAAAAAAATATGTGTGGTTCCGGTTACCCGACCTTCCCTATTTTATACCCCCGACCCTAAACTTTTTTTTTGCAATTTTCATATTTTTTCCGGAATTTTCCCCGATTTCCATCATTGGCTCCAGTTTAAGCTTTAGTTTCAGCAATGACGGCCTCCTTGCAAAACATAGTGCAAGTGTTTAATAGTGTTAAATGCAAAGCAAGCTAGCATGTTGGTGTCCCCTACCAATATTAACTAGTATATTATCACACCACATCTAAATGCCATTTGCAAAGCAGTGATAGGTATTATTTAGAAAAAAATTAAGAAAATCATTTTGGTAAAAAAAAAAAATTCCCTACCTACCTACCCTAATTTTTATGGAAGTGTAACCGGAACCACACATATTTTTTTGTTTGGCCTTATAAGTGTGTTTGCTATGAACATGTTTTACTTATATCGATTGGTGAATTAACATATTCATATATCACTATATATCATTATATCTCTATATTGCATATATATAATAACTTGTGACATGTACATTGTCTTGTAAACGGTTGGCAAGTTGCAATCCTAAGAAGTCTCAGCTTGACTGTAACTATAGGACTCAGTCAGTATAATATATAGACTAACAAGGTCTGCTACTTGGGTTGTTATGCTTTGCTACCAGTACAATTAGTCGACTTGAGAGTTTTATTAAATAAATGTGAATTTATTTTAACACGTCAAGCCAGGCATTTATACAAGGAAATTTAATCCCTGAGGTAAAATTAAAGCATCTCACATTGTCAGGCTGACAGTTATTTCAGACACTGTAATAACAAAAGGTATATAACTCAGAATTACATGGAAGTAACCCTCCTCCCTAGAATTGCAGTCATTTGCACTTTCAGAGAAAATACATTGGCTAATTGTTTATTACCAAAATTTTTGGACCAAACTTGAACGATAGTGTTTCAATTCTTGAATGGCCACCTCATATAAATATTAAAAGCTATTAAAAAAATCAAACGTGTTCAGAATAACAATGTTACATTCTGAGTACCACCAGTGAACTTGCTGTAATGATATAAGATGTTTGGAAAAACTTTTCACTTGAATATATCTAAGGGCCATACGACTCAATTTCATGAAGAATTAAAGCATTATTAGGGTCTAAAGATTGTCTGACAAAATATTACGATGGTGCAAGTTTAATTAGATGTTAATGTGGTAGTGTGTGATTCATGGCATCCTACTAGCTTGGGCTAGTGGGTTAACCCTTTAGCTCAATTGATAGAGCACTGGACTGGCATACCAGAGGCCCCGGGTTCAATCCCAAGCAGAGGCACATAAATGTCTCTGTTACATTAGGCTTCACAAAACTGAGATGACTTGATATAGTTTACATGTCCAATATTTTGATTTTAAACATACTTATAACTTGGTACTAGATTATTTGCCCTCAGACATGGTCAGCACCAAATATATCGAGATCTACCAACATGAAAGCCTTTTTTTTTTTAAATCATCGTCATTAGCAGGTACTCTGTTTCTCTGTTGTGGAAAGTGTAAGACTGGGAGAAGAATTGGAGGATGGACTTTCACCATGTGAGGTGTTATCAGAATCCATCAGAGAGAGAGAGAGAGAGAGAGAGTCAAGCTTTGTGACCTATATGAGCTCTTGTTATATGTCTATTTAATTGAAGATGATTTTCTATGCATATTTCCTTCTAAAATTTTCCTTTTTTTCAACATTCAGATCAGCTTCCATCTACCAGTAAGCAAGATCTACCTGTAATAGACCTTACAGATGATTTGCAAATTTTGAAGAACTTTGACCTGACCTTAGAATTTGGACCATGCACTGGTAATTATCAATATTGTTTTTTTTTAAAGACATGTTTACATTTAGTATTAATGTGATCAAGAAATCAAGTTTTATGAAGAGGCACCTCCAATCAACTGATTACCCAGTAGTACCGTATTTGATCCATTAACCAAAGATATTTTCTCTCTTTATTTTCTTCTATTTCCCCCATTACCTTGCCTATTTCTCTTATTTATTCCTTAAAATTGATATGATCCCCTCCCTCTGTCATTTATTGTCAGTGATTATTGCTATCCATACCTTACATATATCAAGTATGCCCCTCACATTTCACTTAACAAAGAATTTTGGCTCTTAAAGGTATTTTTTTCTGTTAATAAATAGGAATTACACGCTTGGAAAGATGGGAAAGAGCACAAAAACATGGGCTTAACCCCCCAGAAGAGGTTAAGGACATTCTGATGAAAAATGAAGATAAGGAGGAATATACACTGTGGTAAGATATTTGGTGAATATCACTGTTTTGTTTTGATACTAAGGAGAAATATGCACTGTGGTAAGATATTTGGTGAATATCACTGTTTTGTTTTGATACTAAGGAGAAATATGCACTGTGGTAAGATATTTGGTGAATATCACTGTTTTGTTTTGATACTAAGGAGAAATATACACTGTGGTAAGATATTTGGTGAATATCACTGTTTTGTTTTGATACTAAGGAGAAATATGCACTGTGGTAAGATATTTGGTGAATATCACTGTTTTGTTTTGATACTAAGGAGAAATATGCACTGTGGTAAGATATTTGGTGAATATCACTGTTTTGTTTTGATACTAAGGAGAAATATACACTGTGGTAAGATATTTGGTGAATATCACTGTTTTGTTTTGATACTAAGGAGAAATACATGTATACACTGTGGTAAGATATTTGGTGAATATCACTGTTTTGTTTTGATACTAAGGAGAAATATGCACTGTGGTAAGATATTTGGTGAATATCACTGTTTTGTTTTGATACTAAGGAGAAATATGCACTGTGGTAAGATATTTGGTGAATATCACTGTTTTGTTAATCTTATGATACAAAGGTGCGCATTGAAGAGGTAAAATTTTCTGTTTGAATGGAATGTTTTGAGCTTCCATAATGACATGCCCATTTCTGTTACATGCTCAATTCAAATTCTGGTGGAACAGGTATTTTATAAATATAATAGCCAATCAGATTGGCAGTTTACTGGTGAATATCACTGTTTTGTTTTGATACTAAGGAGAAATACATGTATACACTGTGGTAAGATATTTGGTGAATATCACTGTTTTGTTTTGATACTAAGGAGAAATATGCACTGTGGTAAGATATTTGGTGAATATCACTGTTTTGTTTTGATACTAAGGAGAAATATGCACTGTGGTAAGATATTTGGTGAATATCACTGTTTTGTTAATCTTATGATACAAAGGTGCGCATTGAAGAGGTAAAATTTTCTGTTTGAATGGAATGTTTTGAGCTTCCATAATGACATGCCCATTTCTGTTACATGCTCAATTCAAATTCTGGTGGAACAGGTATTTTATAAATATAATAGCCAATCAGATTGGCAGTTTACATATATACAATGAGTAAACATGTGTTTGATTGATACATGACTTGTGATAACTTGAATAAGCATGATAAATTTGTTATTATATACATATTTGTTACAATATGTGAGTTTTACAGAATCGGGGAGTCGCTCACTCTCTTCTCACTTCACATACATGTAATCCCCGTTTCAGCAAAACTTGTGTTGCTATCTCAGAGAGTGGAATATCTTAAAACATTGCGATGAATACTGCTTTCTCATTTCTAAAGAAATGGGGGTGTCATGTAACAATTAACATTTGATAAGAAAGACCCAAACTTCCATTCAAACAAAAAATTTTACCTCTTCAGTGTGCATCATTGTACATGTACTGAGGAGAAATATACACTGTGGTAATTAAGATTTTGGTTAATTCCACTGTTTTGTTATGATAATGAAGAGAAATGAATTCTATTTTCAGCCTGTGGAAAGATTATGAACTGTAATAATGATCAAGAAAATGAAATATACACCAGGCTATGTGTTCTAAATATCATTACATCAGTGTGAATGTATTAAAGGTAATCCAGATCCTGAGAGATCAAAAGAATGCATGTTAATGTACTTAAATATTAAATTTTTTGTACATGCATTTTATTTGTACATGATTATTTTATTTGTAACCTTTTTATTTGTGAATTTTTTGCCATCTGCCCATTTCCTCTTTTCTTGTTTTTCATTGATTGAAATAGTGTAATTATACTAGTAATTGAAATATTGTTAATGTAAATCACTGGTATGTGTAAATAATTGTTATATCAGAATAGGTGTCAAGATTTTAATTTTTACTTTGTTGTAGGAATGTACATAATTTTAGCAAAATTTGACAAATTTCTACATGACCCATAAGGCCACTCTTATCTGATTTTTTAACTTGATTTTTAAGGATTTTACAATTTACTTGACATATTTTGTATTGTAAGTGTTATGTGAGCTGTTTACATGTTTATTCATGTAGGAGACTTCGTATATTGACAATAAAGCGTCTAATTTTGATTACTGAGAGTTATCTTTCTTTAGTTTAGTTGCAGTTAGCCTGATTAAAATACAGATCTCTTCATAGCGCAAAGCGCTTTGCGCTATGAAGAGATCTGTATTTTAATCAGATTGCAGTTACAGTGTAGCTTGTCCAGCAGTCAAAGAACTGCGAACGTTAACTCCGGATTCCCGCCTACATTTTACACACTCATGCTCATGGCCGTAGGAACCGGGGGGGGGGGGGGGGGCAGGGGGGAGGCCGTGCCCCCCCAATAATTTTGCCAATATATAGATTACTATAGAAAAGATAAATACTATATGCCTGTGCCCCTCAATAAAAACGTCTGATGACCATTTTTTTTTTTTTTTTTTTTGCTTGTCAAGAAATTTGTGGTAGTTGAAAGTGCCCCCTCAACTGAAAATGTATGGCTGTGCCCCCCCCCCCCCAACTGAAATTGCTTCCTACGAGCCTGACACTCAAAATTCATTAAGTTTGAAATATTTGCAATTGCTATCATTTTTTTAAATGCAAAGCTGATTTCATTAGTAATTGATTAATAGCTCCAAAACTGTTAAATACAACTCTTTTTGATAAGGGGGTGTAGTTTTTATTTGATTGAAATCAGACTTTAAATTGAAATACCCATGGATGAAATATATGAAGATAACGAACACTCAAAATTCATTAAGTGGATGTGGATAAATAACCTATTAATCTTTCCGTTTGACATGTAAATTAATTATATTTGATTCATTTAGTAAAAGTTTATAGTTGTATACCATTTTTAAAAATTAGCCGTAAAATAACCATTTTCGATGTATTTGCTCTGTAAACATACCCCCCCCCCCCGGTGAAACAACAAAAACTTTGGCATGAATATGCTAAATAACAATCTGTAATACCTGTAAAAAGGAATTTTGTTTCATATGGGGGATATTTTAAAAATGTTTCCCATTGCCCGTTGATTTCTATATAGTGAAAAACACTACTTATACCAAAATTATATAGTTATCTCTCTTTGTTTTTCCAAGTAAGTTATGTACTTGTGTTTTGTGAAAACATTTCATATAAATATCTATAGAGATATGAAAAATCATTCAAATATATTAACTTTTGAAAATTGACTTGGAGGTAGGCGGCAGAACAATACAATCGTTCGCAGTTCTTTATGTCATTCCGAACCTTAATTTTGAACGATGACCGCCTTAATGAATCTACTCCAATAAGACTGATATTCTGTCCATTGTACATGAACTTTATTTGAGTTCTAGATCAATTGATACACAAACAGTTCATACCAGACACAAAGAGAGCAATTTTTTCAGTTGGGGTAGGAGACACAACCTAACCAAAAATTCCTTGACAAGCAAACCTAATGTGAATTAAAGTCATCAGATAAATTAATTTTGTTTTCTATGTATAGAATGGGTATGATTTAATTGGGTCGGTCGGAAGAGAAAACAATTTTTTTTTTACTTTGGCCTTATATCATTGTTCAGTGTTTGTTATATTTACACCCACTAAATATTTTCTCCTTTACTCTTAAGAAAACCATTGCCGTTTATCAGTCAGTAAACACCACTAAGCATGTTGCCTCTACAGATTTCTGAAGCAGTAGCTGTTCCATCAATGAAACGTACAATGACGTAAATATCAATAATACACTATTTCTTCTACGAAATCCTACTTTAAATAATTATTTGCACAGATATAAAACTAAACAATAAAATGTCTTTCTTTCTTTGTTAGTAAGCGGGTTATGCATTTTTTCTGCAACAGCTGCAACATTAATTCCCGTACTAACAACCAAAGAAAGCATCTTATTGTTTAAATAAATCCAACCATCCTTATTTTAATAATGTAATATTCCAGGTTGACTACAGGTATATTCCATTATTATCTAGTTACATTGATTTCGATTGATCGGTGTATTAATATAATAGTACTCGTATTCATATGGAATTGGCAGGAATTCGTTTCATGATTCCAATATTCTCAGGACTGGTCTTGAAGGGTAGATATATTACAATTCATAGCGTAGAAAGATACCCTTATTCCTGTCATATTCATATCTGAAGTGATTGAAAAGATTAGGGATTCATCCGGTTCCATAAACTTGGTGAATGTTCTAAATATTTTAAAAATATGATTCAATAATCATACCATACCCTAGTTACTGTCCTGTTGTTTTTAACAAAACCAAGAACTGGTTACAAACGCTCCATGAAACCCCCCTTTTGCATAATATATGTTTTTCAAAAAAAGTTTACTGTTTATTAAATACGACTAAACTTCTATGATATTACATCGGAAAAAGACAAGTATATGCATACGGGTGGTAAAATATCTACCTACAGCAGCCTAAAGACAAATTCTACATATATATATCGACATCGACATAAGAATGGAAATAACCATTGTTAATTGACAATACATCGTCGATATATCTAAATGTCGAGTTGAAAGCCACAGCAAGTGTTTTCTTCTTTTCACGTATAAGATTTTGAACAAATTCTGCTTCATCATTGTTCATATAAATACAAAAATAGGTCTGCTTATTGCTGTTTTTCAGTCAATACGATGCTTTAGCCACTCTCGAAGTACAATATTCTTCTCGCCCTTCGGACTCGGTGAATAATGTACTCCTCAGGTGGCTATATGATCGTATTGACCTAAAAAAAAATGTATAACATTGTGTAAAATTGGTCTCATTATTATAAATAAAAATCCTTTGGATCCTCCTCCTTCCTTTTGTTTGTAAATCATTCTCCACCCAAATTGGACTTATATAGTCTTCTTGTCTTCCGCACAAGGAAATAACCGCTCGGAAATTAATTGTCTGGACTTTGTACTTTTCATTGTAATTAAGTAAAGCCCGGACTGGTTTGTTGTTATATATTGTATAATATGATGTTACTATTACTTTCAGTGGCGGATCAAGCAGGGGAGGGGGTTCAGGGGATCTAGTCCCCTTGAATTTTTAGTTATAAAATTTATACAATGATGATCAAAACTGGCCTTGTAACAACCCCCCCCCCCAGGAAAAGCAGAATTCCTTGTGAAGTTGGTAAGATTATATGTTCATGTAATGATGGAAAGCGGCTCGAAGGTGAGAAGTGCTCCCCTACTCCCATCCCCACCCGCCCACAAAATAGTTTTTTTCCCACTTTTGCTTTATACCCTTTTTCTTTCTTTTTTTCGCTTGTCAAACATTTTCTGGTCTGGAAACTCCCCCTCCCCGGGGATTTTCAAAGTTATTAAAACTTTATAGTAAATGACTTTAGACCCCCTACCCGCCTGGAAAAGTCTATGAGAAGTGTCCACGTGTCCCCTCCCGAAATGGGTTTTCACTTTTGGTTAGATCTCTATTGTGTGTGCGCTTATCAACAGATTATATTTCGAGTTGGCATCCCCCTAGAAAATTCCTGGATCCGCCCTTGACTTTGGAAAGTTTTAAAATAACACGATGAAAAATCATGCGATAAGTCCTTTAAATGAATTCTACTTGTAACACTTTTCAGGTTCGTAATCAACCTGAAGATAATTTTGTTATCTTTTGCAAATATTAATCAGTGCAAAACATGTCTATTGAATAAACAACAGACTATAAATACGGTATGTACTTTGCACTAGTTCATTTATACATCAGTATTATAGTTTTTTTTTGACACATTGAAGACTTTGATTTCAAGCCCTATATATCTTCACTCGCTCAATGGTCTTTGCCCGCTCATTCACAGTACACTAGGCCAAATGAGTACATAACTTTTGTTTATGGTTTTAACACATATGACATAATATCAGAAGGGATAAAAGTATGTACTTATACTCTCGGGTCAAAAGTTAAAATGCTGTTTACACGTGATCTGATGTAAATACTATATTTCAACAGTGATTAGATGGGGCAACTACACATCCTACATTGAAAAAGAAAGGAGACTGTATTTCTTCTTTTTCCTCTAGAGTATTGACAGCATCGTGTGGACTTTGTGTAGGTCAGAATTGTAGTGTCTTATCTGGGTCACTATCGCCCTCACTTTAATTCAGTTTAGATTGTTATCATTGCCATCAGTTCGCGCTGTAAATGGCCAGGGTGCGGATCACGATGACAGTGTTATTTTAATCGAGGCATGGACTGATTCCCACAATGACCGCTCGTGGTCCTGACAACATGGCATACAACTGTGGTGTATTGCCACCTTTAGTTGTGCTCGTGGCGCTTTTCTTGTACTTTTATCTGGACGCACGTGTTCCGGAGCCCATACCAGAGAAGTTAAAGGTCAAAGTGATGGACGCAATGATGAAAACTTACGGTCACACGGTATGCCACGTAACATATTTACATTTTTATCATTAAGGAACAATAATCACTTGAAACCTCTTCCCTCAATTAAAATATTACAGAATACAACCCTTGATTTCTTTTTGAAAGATCACCTTTTAACCTTTCTAATTTTGCCAATTTTTCAATACTTCACTGTCTCTTTAAAAATTGAATTTTAAAATATATGGACATCATCAACACTTGTCTCAGATCATGATCTCATGTTTAATCAAATAAAATGTTTTCAGGTAAACGTTTTAGTTTACATGCGAATCACGGAACCATTTTCAGATCTTGTCAGAAAGATCGCTGATTGGTTTGTGCTTACCATGGTAACTGGATTTCCTTGGGGACTTGGACCATATGACCCCAGAGTCAAGGTTATCAACCCGACACATTTATAGTACTTTTTATTGAAATGTATTCATTTGTAGTAAATGTTTTATTTAAAATGAATTTTATTAATTAAATTATATAATACAATCTTCCCTAGTGAATGTGTAGGTTTTTGCAAATATTACGTTCAAAGAATTTACCAAATACCCTCCATGTCCAAACTGGCTTTTGACGAAAACTGTAGAAACTGATACCCTTTTCTGTTTCCATTAGATAACTGACACACGTTTACGAGACGTTCGGGTGAAGATATATGAGCCGGTCAGTGGACTGGGGAAAACTGACCGATCTGTCCTCATCTACCTCCACGGAGGGGGGTGGAGTCTTTTATCTGTCGGTAAGCTGTCAGTGGATACAAATCAGGGACGTTGCATCGTTTTTGAAAGGGGGGGGGGGGGTAGCCAGAGAAATAAAAACAACTACCTGAATAAATCCTGCTTGTACTCTTCATGTATTAGTATTAATTATAAATGGAGACACCATTGTGACAGGATTTTAGTTTGCAATTTGGTCAATTTGATTTAAAGTGATTTTTGAAAGTTTTATCAACTATTTAATGTACATGTATCTGAAATTTCTATATTATTTCACATTCATATTATCTTAGTGAGAAAATTTATTCAAAATTTACTTGACAGATTCGTATGACCCCTTGATGAGAAAAATATCACGTGAAAGCGGCGTAGTTGTAATATCAGTAAAGTAAGAATGTTAAATCATTTCACATTTTAGAACAATCAGCGATTTAAGTAATTATGTATATTTTCTAAATATTGTAAACTATAACTTAAAGATAAGAAGAATATTAAATTTTTGTTTAAAAAAAGAAGACGATGAACTTAAGGCTATTTAACTGCAGATCTGTAATATAGCTCGAGAAGGACAACCAGAGTGCCACCCATTGAAAAATGTGTGCATTTATTACGCACAAAAAAGTGCGCTGTTTTTCAATTTCTCCGTGTATTTAAACTGCCATCTCAAAATATTACTTACAAGTGTTCTTAACAAATTATTCTTTTACTTTTTCCACTTCAAAACATTCCCAATATCCATTGTTAATAGCCCTCTTGGGATGAAATTGAGACCATCGAAAATTTCACCTATTTTACCCTTATCTACTTCAATTTTGGGTTGCAAGACAATTCAGTCCAACGGGCTTCGTTCAAATGTCAACTACGAGAGCAATTGATAGTAAATGTCTAACGATTTTTTTTCGAAATTGAGCTTTTGTGCAATTGCGTTAAGAATTTGGAGAAATAAATCCAGCACCGATCGCAACTTTTTGAACGCAGTAAATACATGTATACAATTTTTTCTGAGTGGCACTGTAGCTCTCCAGTCTGTCAATATTTTTTCTGGAGAGCTACATATAGTTCTGCAGCTAAAGGCTATTTAAAGTAAAGATACTGTCTCAATAAGATTAATACTTTTAGTTACAGATTAAGTCCGCAGTTCCCTTTTCCCATCCCGCTTAATGATTGCCACGAAGTCGTAGAGTATGTCGTAGAAAATAGCGAAACCATGGGGATAGATAAAAGCCGCATTGCCATTGGAGGTGACAGTGCTGGCGGAAATATGGCTGCCGCCATCTCTCTGCGAATGAAATCTAAAATTGCAATGCAAATGTTACTTGTTCCATCTCTTCAGTTTGTGAATTTTAATACTACTGCTTTCAATGAAAATACAATGTATCTCAATCGTAGCATACATGACCCGAATTCATTGATGTTTGTCATAAACTACCTTGGTCTAGAGCCGAAATACGTAAGCTACCTCAGATATAACAACCACACATCTCCCTCATTCAAACAATCACTTCAAAATGAATATGCTGATCAGACACTTTGGCTTCCAAAACGGTATGTGCGAGACGAAGTTTTACGTGAAAACATGGAACAGCCGATGGATACTGGTGATGAAAAACTGTTTCAAAGGATAAAGAACAAAATATTAGATCCTTTAGTTTCACCATTGCTGGCAGATGATGACCACCTTGAAAATTTACCATACACATACATTATGGTTTGTGGGTATGATTTTGTGAGAGACGATGGTATTATGTTTTACGAGCGACTTAGTCAAATTGAGGAAGAAGCACACCTTGCCTACTACCCCGAGGCTTTTCATAATGCTTTGTTTTTCCCACATGGACCCTTAAAACTCAATGTCGCCGTGCGGATTGTTGATGATATTGTTAAAACGTTGAAAAACGTTCTTTGAATATATTTATGTATACACAAATATGACCTCACCTCATTTAATTATTTCATGATGTCATAATATTTATTTATTGAGAGGGTGATGTTGAATAAATGTTTTGTTGACCAAATTTTCCTCGTCTCGTCCCAGCTTTGATTTTGCAGATGAAGACAACGCTTGTTTATCAAAACTTTACTTCAAATATAAAAACAAAGCTGCCATTATCTTGCGAGGAAATAGCATTGTACATTGCATTTTTTTTTAAACGTTACAGTCATGATTGTCTCTGAAATGGATATATGGATATAAACAATGTCACTTGATGTGAAATTCAACAAGTGGCGAGAATCTGCATTTTTCTTGTGAGAATTTGGCGTATATCTTGGCTTTACATTCTTCGGTTCCAGTGAAAACACTGGCAACCCACATATTATCAGGCAGTCCCCGAAAATGATGCCAGATACTTCCCGCCAAAAGGGCAACTTCTAATGCCTTAGGTGCACAGATCCTGAAGGTCATCCTAGAGCCCAGAGGAACATCACCAACAATAGGTTCTATTAAAGAATTTCCCTGCCAGCGATGACAAGCTCTCGGAAGTGGTCGTTTGTCTTTGGCGGGTTGTTTGCAGTCAATAAGATACCTGAATAGAACTTCCGGCACACTGTTCTCATCTGTTGACACATTTCCTGAACCAAAGACAGATAATACATATTTTCCCATGACAGGACACCTGGTCTGAAAAGTAACAGAGTCACGATCTCTTTTAGACAAAAAAGTGTACCTTTGGAAGTCCGTAACATTGCATTGAAAAGGTCCATGATACTGGTAGGTATAGGATATGATAATGCTTGCGGGGACTTGGAATCGAAGGAAGACGTCGTCATAACTATAAACAACTAATGGATCAATGTGAGTTAGCGGGGAAATGTCTAATTTGGACATCAGTGGAGTGGGACCAAAAAATGGCACCAATGGGAAGGGACTTTTGAGATGTTCTCTTCTCTCTCTGCACTTCACTCTAAAAGCACATGCACATTGCAGTGAATCCGAGTTCCAGTCTTCCTTCACGTAGATTGTAAAGTAATACTTTCCAGCTTTTGGAGGCGCAACAGTAAATATTGCTTTATGTCCAATGATTCGAATCATCGCTCGGCCTTCTAATTTATTTGGTGTTAAACTGGAATCCTTGGCCTCAAAAGTATATCCAAACCCGAGCAAATTCGGGATGTTAAACTGGAGGACCACAAGACCTTTGTTCGTATACTGTGTGCAATCGTAGTGATTTGCAAACTTTATTCCATGGTTAAAGAATGGGGACTTTACGACTGGCAGGTTGATGAACTCTGTCAGAGTCACTGGACATTCAAGAAGCTGCCATTTGGGGTTGTCTGGAAAGTGTTGGTAAATATGATCCTCTGGGTCTGTGATAAAGTAGAACTCATCAGAGCGGTAATAAAACGTCGAATTCTTGGTGCACTTTACGTGTCTTGCTCCCCAATTACAGTTAATAAAGCACCAGGATCCCTCAAGAAACACTGCCGTCCAGGAATTTCGGAATCTCGGTCCGTCGAATTTCAACCCCGGTTTGTAGCCGGCACCTTTGGAGTATCCTTTGATGATCTCGCAGTAAAGCCCAGCATAACTGTAATTTTAAGCTTAAAATATAAATGGTATTAGGAAAAAAAGTATCAAGAGGAAGAAAAATAACTGCACTATACCTCTTGAACAACAATAACTTTAATTACATTAAAATCATGTTGCCGATTCGTGTTTTGCAGGCTGTTAAATACACTTATGGTGTTCTGTAGTTTATCAATGCTATTAAGGATGCAGTCGATTGCAGTCTATTTCACTATTTATGCGATCTACATTTTTATACTAATCTCTTTATTTAGATAGATATCCCTATCAAACGAATGAGAGATATATATCAAAAAAAGAATTTTTTTAAAATACCAAAATAGAATCTTTTTTCCACAGAGAAGTTAGCGCAAACTGTAAAGAATCTTTAGGGGGAAAATAGAGATATCTTCCTTTAAAAAAGGTATTTCTCTCAAAAATATCTCTCTATCTTTTTTGAAACAGATATCTTCCACAAATTTACATAGAGTATCTATTATTTCTCTGTAGGAAAATCAAAGGAATTTTATTGTACATATATACATCTTTACATTTGAAAACTTAATTTCGCTTAGACATAAAATACTCTCTTTATGTCTGAGTGATATCTATTTCACAAAAGGATACCAATATCTCTGAAATAAATATTTCTTTAGATTATAGCAATTTCTTGTATTGTGCATAAATGGTAGAAAGGTTTGTCATAAATACGAACCAAGAAAACAGGTGACTAATATTCAAAGTTAATTTGGCGGAGTTATTCTGATATGCCATTAATTCCGAGTTAACAACGGCTTTAAATCAATATGCCGGAATACAGAGAACAAAGCTGCATCAAATTGTCGGAAACGGATCTTGACGAACTGTCATCACACCGTCTGGCCTCGTCAGAAAAGCACTATTAAGGTTGTCATATTTGTTTTTAATCTTTTGACCAGCGTCACCGAGAGGACCCTAATGGCATCGGTAATATCAAATAACAGGATATCTATTGATTCAGTTGCACTGAACATCATCGAAACATTCCGCTTTAAAAACTAGTCCTTCAGTCACAGAATGATAATTATTAAGTCGCTGTTTTACACGAGTTTCATTTGTCCAAAGTTTTGTGGGTGTGTACGATTTGCATTTTTTATTCAACGCACCGTTTTTTGCGTGTTATTTAATAGAAAGGCTGTACAAATTTATTTTCACAATAAGAATTTCAAAAAGAATTCCAACAAATTTAGTGTTTAATGGATATGTCCCTTGATCAACTTTGATTAATATTGATATGTTATGATTTGTTTTTTTTTACACAGAAAATATCATTATATTTTGTTTCAATGGGATAGCAGGAGCAGGCGCAATATTAATAATTCATGAAAAAGGTTAACAGTGATCGATCTCAAAACAATATACAAACAATACAAATCTGTGAAAAGGGTATAAAACACGGACCACAGGAAATTCCAGACTATAAAAACAAAGGTCTAACAATTGGTATGAATATCATTTTAACGACCATAGAATTGACAAAATGGTGATTTAAAACGAGTTTTTTGAAATCCCTTTAACATTAACTTATCTGTCAGTAGCCTGCCTTGGTTTATAGATTGATCGTACTCGGAGCATGTTCTTGAGTATCGAATAAGTTGAGAGACGTAAACACCATATGCAGATGATAGCGGAGTATTACTATATAAATAAGTGAATTTAGATCTTATTTTACTCTGTCAGAAATAATTACCACCTTGAATTAAAATGATTCTTGTTAGGTTTTGTCTTATTTTTACTTTTCATTCTTTTCTCTTTTTTTTTGAAGGGGAGGGGAGTCTCAGTGTTGCTTCTGTCTATCATTTTTCTAGTTAACCTTTCCACATTTTGTCAGCTATATAACTGGTATTTGAAAATTACCACATCATCACATACTAGTATATCACATCATCTCTTTACAAAATAATTCTGGTATCATAAGGATGAGGATATAGGAATACCTGCAGAGTCTTTTGAAGAGATCGTGGTAACTTTCTGTGCCCTGTTTGATTCCACGGAGAATGCCGAGAGGAGACTCGGAGCTCACTGCTTCATCAATTTCGATTGTATTAAGATCCTTTAGGCAAATCCAACGAAATATAGCCCTAAAACAAATCATTGTTGAACTTGAATGTTTGGAATTGAGCATCATCTTTGAAAAGACTGAATACTTTTACATTCATGTAAAAATTCATTTACAACTTTTGTCTTTATGTTTCTTCGGGGAAGTATGGCTTTTCTATTAAGCTTTTATCTTGAGTATAAATAAAAATTTAAACTACCCACATACCTAGCTTTCTCCAAATCACTTGTACAGTCTTGCATAAGGTTTTTAACCAAGTCGGTAAAGGAAGAATAATCTGTTTTGGCAATCTGGAAAAAGAAAATTCTGTAGATGTTCGAGGTGGATTTTAACGTTAAACTGTCAGCAATATTGAAACAACTTTGAATATATATATTTCACAAAACTATTTTGCAAAATCAGAAAATCAGTAATCATACAATGAGCACTTTTTCGTCGATGTGTTCTAATTCTCCAGGAGTTTTAAACAAAGCGGATCTCCTGAACTCCGGTGGAGCGATCGGAGGAGGGCGACACAGGTTCATTGTGGGAGATGAACTGCAATCCGAATCTGATGAGGATAGCTAGAAATGTAGAGGTAATTATTACTATACCGCCTTGTACAAAATCTTGGGAATTTAAGTATGGGAAAAAGGACGTCTAGGTACCAGAATTTATTTGATCAAATGCTTACTTTAATATTATTATTAGAAATTACCTCACTCAAACAGAGTTTTTCTGCAATAAGGAACAACATTTCTTGGCTATGCTTCTCTATCATCTGACTAACTCGTATTTTCTCCTCCTCGCTTAGTTTTTCAACTAAATTCTTTAATTTCTCCTCCCGTTTGCGTTTATAAACTTCCTCAATCTTTTGGGATTCTTTTTCAAAGCCAGTTTTATTTGTCTTTTCGATTTTCTTTTCAAAGTTTGTCACAAGGTCTTTGACAAATTTTTCCTTTTCCAGCTTTATTTCGGATTCCAATGAGTTGATCCGTTTCCTTCTCTCTAGTGTCATCTGACTGTAGAGTCGATCCTCTTCCTCTTGCTGCCGTCGCTCCAGTTCCGTTTGTGCAACAAACACACCAAGACTTTCAAAGTCCTGAAATAGCATTCGGTAATCTTTGAACCTTTATCATGGATTTTGTTTGGTAATGATGTATTGAATATTTTGTATTTGAATATTTAGATGTATTGTATATTTTTTGGTAATGATGTATTGAATATTTTGTATTTGAATATTTAGATGTATTGTATATTTTTGGGTAATGATGTATTGAATATTTTGTATTTGAATATTTAGATGTATTGTATATTTTTTGGTAATGATGTATTGAATATTTTGTATTTGAATATTTAGATGTATTGTATATTTTTGGGTAATGATGTATTGAATATTTTGTATTTGAATATT